AATTTCCCCCATGAACTTGTGACCATTAACCAATTTCCTCCCTTAACTTTAATTTTGACCAATTTCCCCCTTCAACTCTCATAATTAGTCAATTTCCTCCCTAAATTTTAATTTAGCCAATTTTCCTCCTCAACTCTCATAATTAGTCAATTTGCACCATACTGTTAATTTTTTAATTTGATCATAATTAAACAAGTGTGTGTAAGAAACTAAATAAGATGTGTGTTAATCAAGTTCCTATATCTTTATCCTATTACAAATATATTAAAATTTAGAATTTTACAATTTATCATGGATAGTATTATTAGTCATAATAAATCAGTATGGAGTAATTTTATTTGATTTTTTACTATACAAAATTGATAACGAAAAGGATTGATGTGTAAATTTTTGTATGTGAATACAATTTTCTTTATAAAAGTGAAAGCTAAATTCAAGTAAATTGCAGAGAATCGAGCTTTAGTGCAAAAATGGCTAGTCAATTCATAATTTTCGACTCCTTATTAAGAATAACCCATTTTATTGAAATAGGTCTGATCCATGAGTTTAGGATTATTATTTCTTTTTGTTATTATTTCTTCTTCTACATGATTTAAACCCGATTCATAACTTTTTCTTATAATCAACCTATATCACATACTAATTGTATTATATTTTTGTACATTTTACCCTATATTATGCAGGTGAGTTTATGTTAATTTTAGTAATTTGTTGGAAGTTATTAGAAATATTGAAAATTAAAAAAAGAATAGATGGAAAATTAAAAAAAAAATTAACAGTAGGGTGCAAATTGACTAATTATGAAAGTTGAGGGGGGAAATTGGCCAAATTAAAGTTGAGGGGGGAAATTGACTAATTATGAGAGTTGAGGGGGGAAATTGGCCAAAATTAAAGTTGAGGGGGAAAATTGACCAATGGTCACAAGTTCAGGGGGGGAATTGATAAATACCTCATTTTGAAAAGAGAGTGTGGGTTTTTGTCTCAGATCCTTTTGATGTGATTAAGACTGCCAAAGCAATAACCAGTGATAACACTCCAAGTTCAAATGATCAGTTGAGCCATGTCTTGGAGTGTTGCTTTCTTTCTCCTTGTCCCGCAGGTAAGAGCAAGGGTAAAGGAAAAGCATGCCATGAGATATCTTTGCCTTCAACTCTGATGATATAAAATACTTTTGCTCTTGATGACTTGTTTGCAGAGGTACTCCAGGGGATGAGGAACACTGAGTGACTTGAGATGCTTAATTGGGAATGCATTCTCAGAGATGAAGAAAGGTTGAGTAAGTTCGTCTTGCTATGAAGGGCGAAGGTTGACATTTATAGAAATTTTTTTCATCACCGGTAGAGGTACTATTCTTTTACTCTTGTCAGCAACCGTTAGGTGATTGAACAGTAAGATTCACACGCTTTCAACTTTGTCAGAAATCTTTGACAAAGTTCCCCGTAATTTCCGCAAAGGTGAGGTTGCGTGTGAAATGTGCTGACAAGTCTGGAAAAGTTGATCTTTTGAAATTTGGAGATCGGCCCGTGGTTTATGAGCAGGCCCAGCTTTTTAGAAATGATCGCCTCTTCGATTTCTGATTTTTATAGAGGCACACATTACGTTCCAAAGCACACTTGAATTGCCGTATGTAGAAGCTCCCTACTTACACTTCTGAGATCTTGATTTGTCCAACCTCTTCTTTTTCTTCAACACCTTCGGAAATGACTTGCCCATTTGACCGTCGTTTTGACTTGAATGTCAGGGAAGATATTATGATGTCTTCTCCAAACAACATTTGGCATCCGTCCTTCTTATCCTCCAATGGTCCTCTTACAGTTAGGGACTCTATGATGAAGAACGATACAACCGCTACGGTGGTTGCTAGAAATCTTCTCACTCCAAGAGACAGTAGGATGTTTTCCAAGCGGTCCGACGAGCTAGCTGTTCAGGACTCTCTGGCCTTCAGCATCCAATGTGCAGGCTCAGTATCAAACATGGGCCAACGTCTTTTTGCTCGATCTCGTCAGGTTAAGTCTTTGATGGCTGAGGTGGCTAGTCTTCGGCAAGATATCAGAGGGCTAGTCTTCCAATGCACATGCTCGTAACTAGTTACTCAACTAGTATGAAGAGGAAGCTTGACTAGCAGCAGGAGTCCGAAGTTCGGATTCAGAATGATCATAAAAGGTTTATGGCGTTACTCCAAAGGCAACTTTTGCCTTCGTTATCTGGATTTTCACCAAGTGTTGAGGCTCCGGAAAATCAAACTCTGGCGCTTCGTCTTCCTGAAGCTCCGTCGAGTGTTGAGGCATCACCTGACCAATGAGCAACCAAACAAACAACGAACTAATCATGACAAATATGGAAAAATAAATGCAGTAAAGAGAAGGGTTTTAGGAACGTAAATCTGGTTTTGGACCGATGCCTAGGTCCTCCTTATTTGAATGCATAGGTTGTCTCCCAAGAAGCATTTGCTTTAACGTCTTCCAGCAGGACGAATCCTTCATTTAAGCTTCATTGGAGCCCACGGCATGGAGGTGTATTTCCTCCACAACCTGTTCCTCAAAACATTTCGTGATTTGGATCTTTGAATGGAAAAGGATAGTGATCCTTCCTGATTGTGGTGTTTTGTTTCCTTAAGTTAATGTGAACTCTCCCACCACCTTGAATGCGAGTAGGTACCTGCACCAAAGAATGTGACAACATATTATTTGAAATGGGAACTGAAATCGAATGAGGGGGCTTACCAATGTGCTGCAATGAAGTGGCAGCACTATCAACACATGCACAAGGGGTATTTTCGGCCAGATTTGGTTTCTTGAGGGTAAGGGCATGCTCCTTGTGCTCCACTCCAATTCCCTCATTGATAGTGGTTCGAAATATCTCCTTCTTGATTGGTGCTAAACGTTCTTACCCTATATTTGCTATTACATATATGGCAAAACAAGAACGAACATTTTTACGATTCTCAACTAATTCAGAAATATTAAAGTTAATCATATCACCACCAAACGTCATAGTTAATGCTCCCTTAGCCACGTCAATCTTGATTTGAGCTGTTTTCATGAAAGGTCGCCAAAGTAGCAGTGGTGATGATGGAGAGTGGGCTGAGTCCTCCATGTCAAGCACATAGAAATCTGTAGGAAAAATCAAGTGGTCTACCTGCACCAAAACATCTTCCAAAACTCATTTCGAATATGCATTAGATCGATCGGCTAATTAAATAATAACACCATCCTTTTTAAGCTCTCCTAGATTCATAGATGCATAAACAGAATATGGCATGACATTAATTGATGCACCTAAATCTTGCATAGCATGTTCAAATCGAGTATTGCCAATAACACAAGGGATAGTGAAACTACCTGAATCTTTGCATTTAGGTGGCAGCTTTCTTAGCAACATTGCAGAGACATTCTCACTCACATGTACCACCTCTTTCTCCCGAATCCGTTTCCTTGTTGTACAAAGCTTCTTCAAAAACTTAGCGTACTTCAGGATTTGCTCTATAGCATCAAGGAGCGGGATATTGACGTGCACCTTCCTGAACGTCTCCAGAATGTCTTTTTCATCCTCTTCATTCTTAGTTTGCATAAACCTGCTAGGAAAAGGTACATTTGGTGGAATAACATTAGAATTAACACAATTTGAACCCAACTTACCTGTGGTGGACGATTTAGGGATGCTAGGAGTGCATGGCAAGGTTGTTTCCTTCCTTGCCGTGGGCGTGTGTTGGACATCTTCCTCTTGTTGCAGCTTCTCGTCCTTCGTTTGGGTAGATTTTGATGGTTGGGGGTCCGTTCCAACTTCTTTTCCAGTTCTCAAAGTAATGGCTTTGGCGGATTCAAATCCTCCCCTTGGATTCACAACAGTTATGCTAGACAGTTTACCTTGCTCTTTGAATTGCCCCATGAACTCCGCCATTTGGCCCATTTGTTTCTTCAACTTATCCACCTCATTAGCTTGATTGAGCATTGTTTTGTTTTAATTTTGCTGCCCCTGCACCAAAGAGGTTAGTAATTGAACAATTTGATCATTTTCCATAGATGAACCTAAATTAGTTTGGGCCGAAGGTGGTTAAGGTTGTGTGGGTGTGAATGGCCTTGGATAAAAACCCGGAGGTTGCTGTAGAAATCCACCTTGTTGTTGAGGTTGTTAAGGTTCCCTCCATTTGAAATTTGGGTGATCATGTCATCCTGGATTGTAAGTGTTGGCATATGGATCATATCGGGGCTGATTCGAGCCTTGGTAGCCAATGGCGTTTGCACTTTCCCATCCACCATTCTCAATTAATTGAGGACACTTCTCAGATGGGTGGCCTTGAATGGAGCATACGCCACACACACTTAGGGAAATTCCTTGCGTTTTGCATCCTTCCATAAACTGTGAAAACGTAGAAGTAAGATTAGTTATTTGAGATTGCAAATCAGAAACGAAACTTACCTCATTTACTTGCTGCAGTGGGAGGTCTCTTTGCCCAACTCCTTCATATTGTTGAGCGTTTAACGCTCGGTTAGTAATCAAAGTCTTGGCTGCCACGGGTGTCTTATCAACCAATGCACATCCCGCTTAAGCATCTAACATTTGGCGTTCAATGGGAAGAAGTCATTCGTAAAAGTATTGAATGAGCAATTCTTCCTTCATTTGGTGTTGAGGACATGAAGCAACAAGACCTTTAAAATGTTCATAGTACGCAGGGAAATATTCTCCTTGATTTTGTTGAATACCACTAATCCTTTTGCGTAGAAGAATGACTCGAGAAGTTGGGAAAAACTTCTCCAAGAACGCTCGTTTCATGCTCTCCCGGCCGTTTCATGCTCTCCCAAGATGTGACAGTTCCGGGAGAGCATGAAACGGGCGTTCTACGCAAAAGGATTAGTGGTATTCAGCAAAATCAAGGAGAATCATTCCATGCGTACTATGAACGTTTTAAAGGTCTTGTTGCTTCATGTCTTCAACACCAAATGAAGGAAGAATTGCTCATTCAATACTTTTACGAATGACTTCTTCCCATTGAACGCCAAATGTTAGATGCCTCAGCGGGAGGTGCATTGGTTGATAAGACACCCGTGGCAGCCAAGACTTTGATTGCTAACCGAGCGTTAAACGCTCAACAATATAAAGGAATTGGGCAGAGAGACCTCCCACGGCAGCAAGTAAATGAGGTAAGTTTCGTTTCTGATTTGCAATCTCAAATAACTAACCTTACTTCTACGTTTTCACAGTTTATGGAAGGGTGCAAAACGCAAGGATTTTCCCCAAGCGTGTGTGGCATATGCTCCATTCAAGGCCACCCATCTGATAAGTGTCCTCAATTGATTGAGAATGGTGGATGGGAAAGTGCAAACGCCATTGGCTACCAAGGCCTGAATCAGCCCCGATATGATCCATATGCCAACACTTACAATCCGGGATGGCGTGATCACCCAAATTTCAAGTGAAGGGAACCTCAACAACAAGGTGGATTTGTACAGCAACCTCCGGGTTTTTATCCAAGGCCATTCACACCCACACAACCTCAACCACCTTCGGCCCAAACTAATTCAGGTTCATCCATAGAAAATGATCAAATTGTTCAATTACTAACCTCTTTGGTGCAGGGGCAGCAAAATCAAAACAATGCTTAATCAAGCTAAGGAGGTGGATGAGTTGAAGAAACAAATGGGCCAAATGGCGAAGTTCATGGAGCAATTCAAAGAGCAAGGCAAACTGTCTAGCACAACCGTTGTGAATCCAAGGGGAGGATTTGAATCCGCCAAGGCCATTACTTTGAGAAGTGGAAAAAAAGTTGGAACGAACCCCCAACCATCAAAATCTACCCAAACGAAGGACGAGAAGCTGCAACAAGAGGAGGATGTCCAACACATGCCCATGGCAAGGAAGGAAACAACCTTGCCATGCACTCTTAGCATCCCTAAATCGTCCACCACAGGTAAGTTGGGTTCAAATTGTGTTAATTATAATGTTATTCCACCAAATGTACCTTTTCCTAGCAGGTTTATGCAAACTGAGGATGAAAAAGACATTCTTGAGACGTTTAGGAAGGTGCACGTCAATATCCCGCTCCTTGATGCTATAAAGCAAATCCCGAAGTACGCTAAGTTTTTGAAGAAAATTTGTACAACAAGGAAATGGATTCGGGAGAAAAAGGTGGTACATATGAGTGAGAATGTCTCTCCAATGTTGCTAAGAAAGCTGCCACCTAAATGCAAAGATCCAGGTAGTTTCACTTTCCCTTGTGTTATTGGCAATACTCGATTTGAACATGCTATACTAGATTTAGGTGCATCAATTAATGTCATGCCATATTCTGTTTATACATCTATGAATCTAGGAGAGCTTAAAAAGGATGGTGTTATTATTCAATTAGCCGATTGATCTAATGCATATCCGAAAGGAGTTTTGGAAGATGTTTTGGTGCAGGTAGACCACTTGATTTTTCCTACAGATTTCTATGTGCTTGACATGGAGGACTCAGCCCACTCTCCACCATCACCACTTCTACTTGGGCGACCTTTCATGAAAACAGCTCAAACCAAGATTGACGTGGCTAAGGGAGCAGTAACTATGGCGTTTGGTGGTGATATGATTAACTTTAATATTTTTGAATTAGTTGAGAATCGTAAAGATGTTCGTTCTTGTTTTGCCATAGATGTAATAGCAAATATAGGGCAAGAACGTTCAGCACCAATTAAGAATGAGATATTTCAAACCACCATTGAGAAGGGAATTGGAGTGGAGCACAATGAGCATGCCCCTACCCTCAAGAAACCAAATCTGGCCGAAAGCACCCCTTGTGCATGTGTTGATAGTACTGCCACTTCATTGCAGCACATTGGTGAGCCCCCTCCTTCTATTTCAATTCCCATTTCAAATAATATGTTGTCACATTCTTTGGTGCAGTTACCTACTTGCATTCAAGGTGGTAAGAGAGTTCACATTAACTTAAGGAAACAAAACACCACAATCCGAAAGGATCACTATCATTTTCCATTCAAAGATCCAAAGCATGAAGTGTTTCGAGGAGCAGGTTGTGGAGGAAATACACCTCTATGCCATAGGCTCCAATGAAGCTTAAATGAAAGATTCGTCCGGCTGGAAAACGTTAAAGCAAACGCTTCTTGGGAGGCAACCCATGCATTCAAATAAGGAAAACCTAGGCATCGCTCCAAAACCAGATTTGCGTTCCTAAAACCCTTCTCTTTACTGCATTTATTTTGCCATGTTTGTCATGATTAGTTCGTTGTTTGTTTGGTTGTTTATGTATGAGTTTATGTTTGAAACATTGAGGACAATGTTTGATTTAAGTGTGTAGGGTAAACAAGTTGTTTTTACATTGATTTTCGTGGGAAAGGAAAATTGGGTAGAAAAATAAAAATAAATAAAAATAAAAAATAAATTATTACAAGAATGTGCAAACAAACAGTAGGGAGCCTTCATTGGTCAGGTGGTGCCTCAGCACTCGACAGAGCTCCAGAAAGATGAAGCGCCAGAGTTTGATTTTCCGAAGCCTCAACACTTGGTGAAAATCCAGATGACGAAGGCAAAAGTTGCCTCTGGAGTAACGCCACAAACCTTTGATGATCACTCTGAATCCGAACTTCGGACTTCTGCTGCTGGTCAAGCTTCCTCTTCATACTCGTTGAGTAACTAGTTACGAGCATGTGCATTGGAAGACTAGCCCTCTGATCTCTTACCGAAGACTAGCCACCTCAGCCATCAAAGACTCAACCTGACAAGATCGAGCAAGAAGGCGTTAGCCCATGTTTGATACTGAGCCTGCACATTAGACACTGAAGGCCAGAGAGTCCTGAACAGCCAACTCGTCGGACCGCTTGGAAAACATCTTACTGTCTCTTGGAGTGAGAAGATTTCTAGCAACCATCGTAGCAGTTGTATCGTTCTTCATCACAGAATCCCCAACTGTAAGATGACCATTGGAGGATAAGAAGGACGGGTGCCAAATGTTGTCTGGAGAAAACATCACAATATCTTCCCCGACATTCAAGCAAGACGACGGTCAGATGGGCAAGACATTTCCGAAGGTGTTGAAGAAAAAGAAGAGGTCGGACAAATCAAGATCTCAGAAGTGCAAGAAGGGAGTTTCTACAAACAGCAATTCAAGTGTGCTTTGGAACGTAATGCGTGCCTCTATAAAAATCAGAAATCGAAGAGGCGCCTGCTCAGAAATCGAAGAGGCGATCCTTTCTAAAAAGTCGGGCCTGCTCAGAAACCACGAATCGATCTCCATATTTCAAAAGATCGACTTTTCCAAACTTTTCAGCACATTTCACACGCAACCTCAGCTTTGCGGAAATTACGGGGAACTTTGTCAAAGATTTTTGACAAAGTTGAAAACGCGTGAATCTTACTGTTCAATCACCCAACGGTTGCCGACAAGAGTAAAAGAATAGTACCTTTACCGGTGATGAAGAAATTCCTATAAATGTCAACCTTCGCCCTCCATAGCAAGGCAGACTTACTCAACCTTTCTTCATCTCCGAGAATGCATTCCCAACGAAGCCTCTCGAGTCACTCAGTGTTCCTCATCCCTTGGTCCTCATCCCCTGGAGTACCTCTGCAAACAAGTCATCAAGAGCAAAAGTATTTCATATCATCAGAGTCGAAGGCAAAGATATCTCATGGCATGCTTTTCCTTTACCCTTTCTCTTGCCTGCAGGACAAGGAGAAAGAAAGCAATCGGTCGACACTTGGAAAGATTGAACAAAGAAACAGACCATCACCTCTACCTCGTGCCTGCCTGCCGTGCAAAAGAAACAAGCAGAGAAGAATGCAGCATGGTGAGCTGTAACAGATCACTATAGCATGACACCTTCCCTGCACAATCATATAACCCAGCAGAAGGAGTCTGAATTGAATCCAAGAGCTCGAGAAGCTTCAACAACATTTTGACGGCACCGTCGCCAAAAAGCAAAGCTTCGTCGTACAATGCCATCAAATCACCACCACCAAGGAACTCTCCTCTTCCTTACTCAGAACTCCAACCCAGTTCAAGATCAAAGATGTGGAAAGTCAACAAGCATGACAAAATACATGTCGATTCATTCACTACCGAAGTAAAAGATCATCTACCACATGAAGCTAAGTTTTTACTCACTATTTTGAAGTGTTTTTAGTATGTTTCAAAGTGTTTTAATGTATTTTGAAAGAAAATTACGAAAATTAAAAAAAAATGTTTTGAAAAACCCAAAAAGAGTTGTTTTTGTGTGTTTGTTTGTGTCTTAGGGTACCTTCCAACACATTGATGAAGATTTGGTTTTTAATTGCATGACTGTTAAAAAAAGTTACAAACATGGGTGGAAGTTTGATATGCTCTTTGATTTATGCTTGGTTGTAGTTAATGTTTACAAATTCACATGTAATCACAAAGGAAAAAATCAGTTTCTTGTAACATGCTTGAAGGAAGTAATTCAAACTAACGCTACAACCCTGAGAGAGTTGAGCCTAAACATTATTTGGGAGTTATTAATTTGTGCATTCTTATTTTCTAAGTCGTTACATGATCTCATTATTCTTTACTTGGTTGCTACTTAGAATGTGTTTTCATCATTATAGTTCCAAATACTAGAACTCATGCCCGTTTCATTCAAAGCTTAAAATTGAGTACATAACATATAACAAGATGAAGTTGTTTAGTAGTTACCACCAGAGCCAAAAAGCCTTCATCCCATGCATTTGTTTTGTAGGTTTAACCCCTTTGAGCCTTGTTTAAACCTATTTTCTTTGTTAACCACATTATCCCTACCAAGCTTAGAATAGGACTATCCATACCGTTGTTCTTAAAGTATAGTGGAGCATAACTTAAAATGAATTCCTTTTGATGAACATTATGCAGAAAAACAAGTGTGGGGGAAGAGTTTTCATAAGTGTGTTTTGTGTGCCAAAGAAATTGGGCACGGGTAGAAAAAGAAAAGAAAAAAACAAAGAAGAAGAAAAAAAAAGTTGTGAAATAAGTGAGAATGAACTCACAAGTATTGGTTGTTGAAGAAAGGGTCCAAAAAGTTTGAATATGACCCTAAGTATGTACGAAATCCCCTTAGTGTTTCAAGTTATTTGCTGCATTCAAGAGTGAATTCTAAGTTGATTTCATTACTTTGCTTACTATTGCTTTAAGAACCTTTGTTTATCCTTACCTTTCCTTGTTAGCCAATACCCTTAACCCCATTACAACCCTTAGACTTCAATCTTGGGTGTTATGTGTTTCTATCTGTGGAGTTTGAATTTGGTATGAGCATATGGAATCCCTGGTTCTCGCTCTAAGTAGTAGCATTCCGTTCATGAGATTATTGAAGGAAATCTTTTGGGAAAACATGTTCATTTGAGCAACATCATATAGCATGCAATTAACAATTAAAGGCGGAATCATGCTTGTATGCACTCAAAAACAAAACATTACCATGAAATTCAAAGCCTAGTAGATTGGTGAACCAATAATCAACTCAAAACAAAGTGAGTTGAAATTAATACCTTTGTAGATTCCTCTTTGCATAAGCAAAGGCTAATCACCCAAAGAGATAGGCCCTTCATTCCTTGCTTCTTAGATCCATGGATTTGGATGGAAGAATAGGTTCTCCAAGTTCCCAAAATTGAGAACCTCTAAGTCTCTTCACCAAGGTTAGATTGTAGAAGAAATGAGTGACCTTGGAGTAGTAGGATTGCTAGATGTACCCTCCAAGGTGTTGGCCTCTTTAGAGAGAAAAATGGAGAGACAATTCTCACCAATTTTCCCCAAAATAAACCCTTTTAATCCTTAATGAATATTTGGCTATAAAGTCATTTATATAGTCACTTCTTTAAGTGACCTAAATAACCAAAACCCTAATTCATTCCATATGGCCGGCCATTTAGGGATTTTTGGGCTTTTGGGCTTTAATGAATCTTTATTCATTAAATTGTCATACAACTTAAGTTAATGGGCTTGACGTTCGAAGCCCATTGGGCCTTAAGGTCCAAAACTATCCCGAAGTCATTTAACGAACTTATTCGTTTGATTAATTAACATATTAATTAATCCTTGCCATAAATAAATGATTAAACCATTTAATCATTCTTACTCATTTCCGTTTAATCTCCAATCTCTACCTTTTATGGTGTGCGATCCATTAGGTTCCTTTTAGCGAGGTAGTGGGCGATTAAAACCATTTTACATCGATTGTGAATTGAAACTATTTTCAATTCTCCCTTTAGTGATTACACACGTTTAGGGCTTCCACAAACCATGAGTGACACCTAGCAGCATATCATGGTTACCCAAGCTAATCAGAAGAGGTGGAGAACCTATTCAGTTCGAGATTACAAATGCAATACGGTCTTTCTCTAATCTAATACTCTTGACCACATTGTTTGGTTTGATAGTTTATTTTCTCATGTCTACTATCCAATGTGTGTCTTGTGCTTATATGATTACCTTGAATGTGATTCGGAACGCATTCCCTAATCTCATTCATACTCTGGCCTGAGATTCAAATCATATCAGAGAGTATTCTCCCTCAAACGGTTTGAAGGTTAGAGATCCCTTGTTGCGCATTCACTTGTCTCCATAGATAAGTGGCTTGATCCCAACGATGCCGTGGACACCCTCCTGATGGAGTGACTTTGACATAATCAAAGATCAAGGACTTAACCACAAGACAACTATGATGCATCAGATCAAAGAACTACTTTGCATTATCCCAACCATGAGTTCTCACGTGACATGGAATATGAGAACTCTTCGTTGATCGCGTTCAGTGAACTCATTCTCTATTGAGCACCTACCGTACTTGTCTTGATGTCACACACACCAATGACTCGAGACTAATCACTCTCCCTGAGAGAAGACATAGTACGTACTGATCTTAACGGACTGTCAATGCCCAATTGGCAATCCTATGATCAGGAACATTTAGGATGTGTCTACGAAAGAATGGTCTCATGAATCTAACTTCATTAGATTACATTCTCCCAATCACATATTCCTTGGACTTTATCGTTTAAGCATATAACATTTATATGAGACGGCTCAAACAATAATTTTTGCCCTTTATATGTAAAACTAGATTAGTTTAACA